AAGGCAGATAACAACAACAACAAAAACAACAAATAACTTTCAGTCAACCTTCAAGTTGTTTTCTGGTTATAGCATACTGTTCTCATGGTTCTAAATGTTTTTTATTTTTCTCTATCAAAAGTTGTTAAAAATCCATATAACTCAAGATCACAGTAAGTGTATTCACTTGTTTATCAGAAAACAAAGTGCTATATCTAAAAAGGTATCACTAAATGATGGTCTCTATTCAAAGGTTCTTCCCCTAAAACTATATTTTGTTTGAGCTATTATTAATCATAATTTATAATTTTTTTCCAACTCAGCATCACAGCAGGATTGAAAGGAAATTTTAGACAATCTAAGGATTTCTGTGTGATGTAAACAATTAACATATTTGTGAGTTTGAGTTTACCCAGCAATGTCTCAGAAAAATAGCCTGATGGTTTATGTCTTAAAAACTAGACATTGAAAATCTTATGGAGCATAGTTCTACTCGGGCACAGACAGGAAGTTCCTACCATGGCAACTGGTTATGTATTGTTTTGTGTGTTTGTGTTGGAATAGACCAGTAGTTGACCTTCTAGCAGATTTTCAGAGGCTCTAAGTTGCATTCTGATGGTAGATTCAAACTGAATGTACGTGGGTTGGCAGTTCAAGTCTTTACTAGACCATCAGAACACCCTTTACAACTGATAATGGTTAGAAAATCTATTCCTACAAGGAAAAGCCTGCTCATCTTTGAGTCATAAACAAATAATAGAACTGTGATATGAGTATTGCTTTCTCACATGATTAGTTCAATGATCGTGGGCACATTTCAGAATTTACATTTCCTTCTCTACTATAACAAAGATTTCTATTTCAACGATGAAAACAATGACTGCTTAAGAAAAGTTCCAAATTAAAGAAAATAAAATTGACCGATTAGAACTGTTGCTGACCTGAGTAGCAGCCAGTGTGTCTCCAGATTCCCCTCGGGCAACCATAGCTTCCTTTTCATCCATCCAAGCCTCCTCTTCCTCAGCATTCTCCATGAATTGCAAGTATTCTAGAGACTCTTGCAACCGGATCCCTCTGTCATTGGTAGAAGTAGAGTTGAAAATTTGAAAAGAGGAATAGGCAGTGAACAGCACTGTAGCTGGGTGGCATGATCTCTTCAAAACTGACTGCCTCATGGCCAGTGCTAACGACAACCTGTGCAACTGAGGAGAAACCGCACCAAGAAGCTCAGTTTCATAGTATTTTCTAGTCTCTAGAAAGTTTTGAAAGATTTTCCAGATTTCAGAGTTGGGTAACATCAGTAACAACAGCAGCACACTTTGTACTCTTGAGTACTGTCTTCCCACCCTCGCCCCTTATATTATGAAGGCACAAGTCCCCAGAAGCTCCATCTTATTTTCTATGAAGAAATATTTTCCTACTGCAAAGAAACATGAAATTTTAGTCAGAGTTTTTCAAACTCATCTCTGTGTGGCCTTAACAGATAAGAATATTTTTTTATATTTTTATACTAGTGTTTTACAAAATTTGAGTATGTTGTTTTCGAGAAGCCGGGGGATGAGGATGTGCAGGAAGAGGGGAGATTAATCATGGAGAAAAGTATATTAATAAATACATTTCATTATTAACGATTGCAAACAATTTTAATAGCGAGGGAGAGGACAAAGTAAAGAGGACCTTAACTAAGAACCTAATATGCAATATTACATAAATCATCAATGATAAAATGGCAAAACACACAACTAGTGATCACTTCTGGCTGGCAAAAGTGGACAGGAGCTTCATGGAAGATAGACACTTGAGGAAGGATTTAACTACGTATAAAATAGTGGGCATATGGGGCTAAGAATAAATGCTAAGTAAACAATAGGTATTCTTGCACCACCTACAACCAAAGAAGAAAATTAGGTCTTTTGTCCCTTACTCACCGAGCCTTGGCCAACTCTTTCAGTTTCTCCCAGTGTTCAACAAACTGTGCCAGTCGCTCCTGGATCTCCTCTCGTCCCACAGCGTCCTTGTCTCCCAGCGTCTCTGCCATATCCAACACTCTCTAAAAAACACACATCTTAGGGAGCTCTGGTGGCCTAGTGGCAAGGAGCTGCACTGCAATCCCAGAGGTACATGGTTCAAATCCACCAGATGCTGTACTGAAGAAGGAGGGGCAATCTCTTCCTGTACTAGATGGTAGGCTCAGAAAAATAAATCAAAAGTAAAAAATAAAAAAATAACACAACAAAAACCCACACATCTTTCATTTTCCAACACCTACAACCTCTATTTAGCCAGGGTTTTTTTTAAAAATGTATCACTGCTCCTTCCCACTTTCAAGATAACTAGCAACATCCATGTAACTTACTGAAAATCCTGGGAGAATGAAGATGTAGCGTGCTAAATGGCCCCAGTAATTTTGATAAATTCTTCTGCACTTTTACTAGACTACACTCCTTGACACAGTTAATGAGTTATTTAAGGTCATAGATTGAATCTATGTCAACTCATCTCCAGAACCACTTTTTTCATTATATAGTTCAAACACAACATTCCCAGATACCCCAAATGACATATTAATTGCCAACAACTGCTTCTAAGAATATTGCAAGTATTCCTGCCAGCTAAGAACATTGGTTGCTATTAAGAATTCTTGTATTCTTGAGAGATAAGATGTGGTACAGAAAAAGAACACTTGAGAGCTGAATAACTAACTGTAAAGACTGCACTTGCTACTGTCACATCTTTCACTCAATCCTACCAATCCATACCATGAAGGACTGGTATTAAATTATTTGTATTTCCAGCTCAGATTTTCTATGATCTGTACCTTAATGGCTGGCTCATGTGCCACCAGCTCTCCCTCGAGGCGCTTGTGCTTCTTCAGTAAGTTCTGAACACCTTGCAGATCCCTCCCATCGTCCTGGGATTTCACACGCACCAATTTCTCCCTGGGACCAAGGAAGAGAAAGAAAGTTGTAAGCTTAGAGCAACACTTGGTTTCCCCAAAGAAAGAAAGAGAGAGAGAAAGGGAGAGAGAGAATATTTGTGATTAGGACTGGGGGGAGGTAGAAAATTCTAGAACATCCTGGTGCCAATAAACAATCAAGTAATTAGTGACTAACAAAAAAGGTTCTGATTTATTACATTACAAATTACAAATTTCTACAATGCTGCTGTTGTTATGTGCTGTCAAATTGAAACCTACCCATAGCTCACCCTCCAGCTGGTTTTCTGAGGCAGTAAATCACACAGGAGAACAGTACTCATCCTTCTCCCATGGAGAAGCTGGTGGTTTCAAATCATATTCCTTTGGGTTGGCAATACAACTCCTTACTCACTAGGTGTCAAATACTATTTTAAATAAACACTTAAGTAAAAAGAAACATGGCAGACTGTTAAGAGTCATGGCAGTTGGAAACACTTAGAGCGTAAAAAGTAGAAATTCCTTCATGAAGCTAACAGGAAAAAAAAATCTTATTTCACTGCATCCATAGAGTACTGATAAGTAAGATAAATAAGAATTATTTCATTGTGTCCAAAGAGTGTTGCTTTGCTAAACCAAAAAAGCTGCTACAGCTCTGGGGGAGATGGGCAGTCTCTTCCTGTTAAGATTTACAGATTCATAGCTTCAGAAACTTGATGGAGGGTTGCTGAGTTGGAAATAAATCTATGGCAGTGGGTTTGTTTTGCTTTTTTTTCTTTTGTAATAGTTTAGAAATGTCACATTTGTTGCCTCAAAAATGAAACTAAGGGAAAAGCTCTTTGCCCTGTGCTTCTATCATAGTTATTGGTCACTTGCAAAAATCAGCTTAATTTTAGGAGGTGAATATAATGAGTCAGATTAAATAGGAAGTAGGAAAATATTTCTATTTGCTAAAATATTCCCAATCAAATATTTTTTACAGTTGTAGTTGTTGTTGTTACGTGCCGTCGAGCCATAGACGACTCGTAGTGATGCTATGAACAAACAGTAGCAATAGAATTATTAATTAAACTAGGGTAAGTACTATGTTGTATTATCTATCCAGTTTCCAATTCAGGATTGTATAAGATAGAATGAATAGAAACATAATAACGGCAATGATCACAACAGCTGGGTAAGTGATATAGATTCCCAGCTGTCTTCATGAGTTTCACTACTTATTAACTTTCTAGAGCAGGCATATGTGGCCTTTTCATTTTGTTCCCAGTTTATCTATAGTCTTTTTGATCTGAGGAAAACTTAATTAAGAAGTAATAACAGCTTTGAGAAACAAATACATATTTCATTCTAGCATAAAATAAAAATGTTTGGTGGATAATCTACTTTCTTGGATTATTCTCCCATTTTGATTTGATGGTACATACTCTATCCAGGATTCCTCATCATCTAGATCCTGAAAGAACTGGAATAAGGCATAAGTTTCTTTTAGTTTTTCATGGTGTGCAGCTGCCAAATCTTGTACATTCAAGAAACGCTTATTGACACTATCCCTTTTCTCCACAATCTGGTCCTCATTGAATGTCCCACTGGAGAGCAGTTCAGAAGCCAATTCATTCAAGTCCTTGAGGGCATCCTAACAAAACAAAAACAAAGTGAAAAAATAAACAAACAAGCCCCCCCCCCCCCCCCCGCCCCGCCTTCAGTGCTTAATGAACATTACAGATACAAGTCCTAAACCATGTACACAGAAAGCTTTTGATTTTTTTTTTCCTGTCTGGTATATCTACATAAACAAATAAAATCAGTAATATAGGAATGATCTAGAATGAAATTGATACTTGTCGTATATTTCTCACTTATCCTGTCACAATTTCTGGTTGATATTAGGTTGCAACTGGTATCTATCCTGCCATTCCAAATTTTTCCCAGCACATATGTGTAATTTTGTCTATACTTTAAAACTTCATGGCACATGTCTTCAGATAAACTCTATTTTTCCCCAAACAAATCAAATAGTTAACTTTGGAAGACAGTGAACATATATGCATTGATCAATAAAAAGGATCACCTAGAATCTATCTTCTAGAATGTTAGCATCTATAGTTTAATGATGATTGGTTCATAATAATATTATAATGAATCTGAAGTCCATGGGTTTGATGTGGCTGTGAGTGATCTCTGACTGAGAACATTTCCTCCTGTAAAGAGTCACAATCTTGGAAACCCAAGGGAGGGTCACCATGAGTATGAAGCAACTCAATGGTTCTAAATGGCTGAAAGCACTAGCCTTACAAGACTATACTTTCAAATGGTCTCTTATATTATGGAGGGGAGAAAAGGGAAGGGGGCAGGGATTTAAATGCATTTCCATTCTAGCCAGGGAGTGAGATTCCAGCACTACTTACATTGCGGGCCAGCATCTCTGTTTCCAATAATTGATGCTTCTTGAGCAGATTGCCAGCAGAAGCCAAGTCCCTAGCCTGATCTTTCATCGCAAGAAGGGTCTCTGCCTGGAAATAGATAAATAAGATAGAAAACTGTAAGCTAAAAACCATCTTAAAAGATAGAATGATTAGCAATTATGTCGTCAAATGTTTCCAAACAATAAAGGCCAAAGAATGAATTTATGCATGTATTTGTATATCTGACAATTGTTTAAAAAATGTTATTCCATACTTTACATTATGTTTATTACTGAGGATCTAATATAGTGAACAAGTTTAATGCCTTTTTCAATCTTAGATTTTTCACTAAGTTTCATGGCATACCCTTGCTTTTATGTTCACTTCATAAGACCACCATAAGATAGTGATTTCATATAATTTTCATTTATATTTATAAAATTATATGTTCAAAGTAGATAAATCCATTTGATTATTAGATATATGATAAATTATTTAATCCATTGCTTAAAATGTTTTTTACAATGCTTACTACTCCAAATGTTGTTGTTGTTTTTGTTATTGTTATGTGCCGTCAAGTCGTTTGCGACTCATAGACAAGTATTAAATATTCAGATAGACAAGTATTAAATAGCAACAATGATCAGCAACAACAAAACATATCTTTACATTTATAAACTCAGAAAGATGGATAGTTTGAAGTAAGAAATAAGGGCTATGGAGTCACAGTGGATTCCAGTTTTGCCACTTAAAAGTATGGAGGTCTTTGAACTAATTATCTCATTTCTCTAAACTTTGGTATTATTTGGATCTCATTATGATCAAATGAATCAACGTGTTAGTGCACAATTTTAATTGGCAACCATGCTTAGAAACACATTTTTTTCCAATTGTTTATGACTGTCATATGAAATTGAGCATCAGTCATATGTTTGGGAGTGAAAATTAATTAAAATGTGGAGGACGGCTAGCATATTCCTCCACAATAGCTCAGAAATCATCAGCTGTATTTCAATGTAAAGAATACATGCATTTTAAAGTAAATTTGGAGAAAAATACAGTCTCTATCCTTGTGATTCTCTAGCAATGACTGTAACAGAAAGGTTTCTACAGAGGAGAACATAGTCTTCTCTTTCTATCACCAGACCAGCTGTTATGGAAAACTTGGTGGTAAGCTGTAGAATCTTAAATAACTCTTTTATTGTTACGTGCTGTCAAAGTGCCTGCTACCCATAGAGACCCTATGTACAGCAGCTCTGAACTCTGCCCTGTCCTGTGCCAGTTTCACTAATTCTAGCACACCAAACTCATTGCCACAATTACCGTTGCCTATGTTAGTAACAGGAAATACTAGAGAGCTGTGGTGGCCTAGTGGCAAGAAACCGCACAGCAATCCCAAAGGCATGTGGTTCAAATCCACCAGCTTCTCTGCAGGAGGATGGGAAATCTTCTCTCACTCTATTAACTGTCTCTGAAAACCTGATATGGCTTGGTTCTGACTCGATGGTACACAACAACAACTTAGTAGTAGTTATATATTAATAGCTGGAAATTAAGTTCAAGAGATTACAGGATAGAAAGTTTCAAAATCACAATGAGGTACTATCTCACTCCAGTAGTAGTGGAAAAGCTTAAAAAGACAGAAGTGATAAATGTTGGAGAGGATGTGGCGAGATAGGAACTCTTGTTAGTGGAATTGTAAAACTGTACAACCATTCTGAAAGGCAGTTTGGTGCTTCCTCAAAAAGTTTGGTGCTTCCTTATAAAGCTCAACATACAAATTCCATATGACCCAGCTATTTCACTACTTGAATTATGCCCTGAGAATATGAGAACTGATGCACAAACTGAGATTTGTACACAAATGTTCATAGCAGCATTATTTACCATTGTAAGAACATGGAAACAGCCCAAATGTCCAAATACAAATGAATGGATTGAGAAATTATGGTACATTCACACAATGGAATGCTATGTAGCACACAGGAGCAATGAATTTATAAATTATTACCTAACTTGGGAGGGACTGGAGAGCATTATGCTGAACCGTATTGTAGAATGAGGATCGAGGAGGGGTGGAAGAGGCTGGAAGCAGAGAGATGTGGACGTGTAGGGGGAAAGGGAGATTATTCATTGGGTTGTACAATTTGATGGGAGGGGTGAGGGAAATGGAAAGAATTTGTTCAAATTTTTATTTGAATTTTATAAATAAACTAGTAGGAAATAAAGAAAAAAAAAGCTGAACATAGAAATGCCATGCAATTCAGCTATCCCACTATTTGTAATATACCCCATGAAAAATGAGGCCCAGACAGAGACTTGTACGTCAGGGTTCATAGCAGCATTATTTTCCATAGCAAGAACATTGAAACAGCCCAAATATCCAACCACAATGGAATGGTCTGAGAAATTATGGTACATTCACATGATGGAATACTATGTAGCACAGAGGAGCAATGATTTTGTAAAATACTACCTAACTTGAAAGAGACTGGAGAGCATTATAACTAGTAACTATAACTAATAACAACTAATAACTAATAGGTGTGTCGGAGACAATAAGATCAGCAAGAAATAGAGCAAGGTTTAGGGCTATTGCACATAAGGTCACTATGATTCATAGGCACTTAATGGCACATAACAACAACAACAACAGCAACAACAACTATTTTTGTTTTATTCCACAATGTATAATTAAAATTTTAACCTTAGTAGAACAGAACTGGAACCCATTTTTCTCTAAGTCTCTAAACTCCATTTCTTTTTTTTTCAGTTAATTTGTCCTTTAACTAAGCCATTGCCCCTTCTCTGAAGCCTATATACTTTGACCTATACCACTCTACCTACCAAAGAAGTTACCCAAATCTTTGGCTGCAGCTGTATGTATAGGGTATTTTGAACATTGGAAGGAATAGATCACTCTTCTATGCACTGATAAGGCCTCCCTTCAATACCAGCCCTTTAGTTTGGGAGAGTAGACTGGATGAAGAATAATCAAAAGACAATAGCCAGGATTGTATAGGAACTTAAAACCAATTACTATAAAGAAAGTGTTCAAAGAACTGAAGAGAGGAACAAAGGAGAAATCAAGACACATTTAATTTGTCTCCAGGGTCAAAATTAAAGCAAGTTGATTTCAGATTCACACCACGGAAAATATCCCAATGGTAAAATCTTCCCAAAAGTAGGATGATCTTTCTTGGAAGGTAAGATAATAATTTTCCTACCATTTGCAAGTCTAGATAAAAATATTTATTTATCAAGATACTACAGAAAGAATCACTGAATTGGAGGAATTACTGGATAAAATGATCTCAAAAGTTGTTTTATGATTCCCCTTGACACGCAGATCCCCAGATGAGTTGAGGTCTTGGCATGGATTCCAACCATTTCCAATGATAATGCCTTGTTCCTGACTAGCAAATAATGTGGGTGTTTTTTACAATTAGAGTCTCACTTCTATCTTATTACAATTCAAAGTTTCTTCATTTTCATTTGCTTAAAGATGTACCTCCACTATGTTTTTGTTGTTGATGCTAAGTGTTGTAGACTCATAGACGACATATAGAGACCCTATGAATGGAAGATCTGAACACTTGCATAACTTTCATAATTTCTCCACATTCATAGAGTTTCCGGAGGCAAGCTATTTCAGAAGTGAATGCCACTCCTGTTTCCAAGCTTGTTTTAATCGAGAAGCTCCACCAAACACTGTCCACCATGAGTAACCATTATCGCATTTGACACATCAGTGTCACAGTGTTTAGTATCACAGCAACCACGAGTTACCTCTGTACAACAAATTGACAGACCAGTGCTATACCACTTAGAAGAATGTTTGACCACCTCCACTATACCTAGGTATAATTACCTCTGACAGCCAGAATTCAAAATCTCGGATTCCAGTGTTAAACCTTTGCTGGCGACTGGCCTCATCCAGCTTCTGCCCTTTGTCAATTGTTTTCTCAAGCAATAGGTCCCAGTGTTTTTCTAGGTCTTCCAGTTGTCCCTAACCCCAAAAAAGAGTGAAAGGTTATTTCAGTGGTTTGCACTCCAAGTCCTCTGACAACCTGAGAGAACAATGAAAGAAAACCTTAAAGAGAAGTGCTCACACCCAAACATGCTAGTTTTGTATGTGTGAAACCAGTTATACTTAACCTGAGAAACTACCAAGAGTATTATAAAGAAGGGAATGTTTCAGGACATAGTCCTGGCATAAATATAGGGATTGATGTCTATATGCCAAGAGACTTGATAATATAGATAGAAAATGTAAAACAAGTGTTATATGACTTAAAAACTACCAATCATGTTAAGACTTAATTCTTAACATGAAATAAATTCTAAAACATTGAATTCTAAATTTTGAGTATGATGGAACAGATGGTTTGAACATTTTTTTCCCCTCCTTCATCTTATACCTAGAGGAAAAGCTACTTACTAATCATAGTGTATATTCTGGATTCCTACACACGGAAACATTCAAAGAATAAGAGTTGTCACATGTCTTTTTGCCTCAAAGCCCAACCTGAACAGAAACTTTTTACCTTCATGGTTTCTTCATTGCCATCACAGGCCCCTCGTTCAATCAATGAGTTCCCCAGGTTGATAACTGCTTCCACCTGCTCAGCTCGGCCATTGACCTCATTTTCAAAGGTCTGATGCTTCATATATTTCCTCTGACGGCAGATAAAAAAAATTATTCTCCTATTCAGGAAACAGGATGAAGTAATTGGCAATGAGAAGGAAGAGTTAATGGTTTTGTCAGCTTTACAGAAGGTGGCAGTGACTCACAACGCATTAGACTCAGAAGCCTTTAAGGGCAGTGGTCTTTACAGTAAGGGAGCAACCAGTGTAAACAAATGATCATCTAATAACAATCTGAGACTAATAAAGTTTTAGGAGATTTCTATTTTTAATTTACCTGGATGTTGGTAGGGTCTTTGTAGGATTCATCACAGGCTGTGGGCAGCATCTCGCTGATCCATTCCTCTAGGTCCTCGAGGTCACGGTAAAACTGCTTCAAGTCAGCATAGTCGCCAAGCTTTGTTCTCTCAACAATTAGCTGAGCTTTGAGAGCATTCCACCTGGAAGAGAGGACCACATCATTTTCTCCCCTTTGCCTTTCCCTTAGGATCTGACACCGTATCCTTGGATCTTTCCATTCTCTAGAATCTTTCTTCTCATAGTCACATGATTTAAAAATGTATCATACTGTGCTTAAGGCTGATATTTTATAAGGTTCTTTCTAAATATTATTTCTTTGAATCGAGGTCAAAATTTCCCAGGGAATGAAAAAAACAAACAACCCACAAAAACTATCTTGTGTTAGACACTTAGAATGGGTGATAATGAAAAGTATCATCCTACATTTAAGAATAATAGATAAGTGTTTTTGCTATACCTTCCTGTAGCTCATAAAACTCAGGCCTGACCTGTCTAGCACCCGTTGGAGCCGAGAAGCAATCTCCTCCTTGGCATAATGCTCATCAGCTATGAGTCGTTCACCAAAATTTTTTAGGTCAGTGATCTTCTGTTCCTACAAAAAAGAGTCCAGAGTTCTGGAGTTAGACTCTTGTTATAATCCCAGATTCCCTTCTAAAAATAGAAGAGATATATACAGTTTTCAAGGTAACACCAGGACGAAACATTTAAATCTTTTTACAAGGGAGGTAGCTTTCAACTTAACAAGAGAGGACACATTTAATAATTAATGTTGGTCACAAGCAGATGAGTTGAGTTCTTTAGAGACAGCTCTTTGCTTGAGCTCTTATTAAGAGTTAGTTCTGCATTGGGTGGGTTTTTAAACTAGTCCCTTCAAATCTAACAATAATATTTTTTAAAATCATAAATTCTACTTTTTTACCTTTTTTCATTTTCTGATAGAAATAACTTAGAAGGGAAAATCAATTCTACCTTCTTACAGCCTGGCTATTGATCAAATACTGAAAATAATATTTTACTGGAATCTAAGGCAATTGTTTGCTTCTACTGCTAAGTCAATATTTGTTTACTTCCTATTAAAAAAACACTTCATCTAGTTAGTGTCATCATGTAATATCTAAAGCTGTAAATCTTGACAGAAGCAGGCTGCTTTCTTTCATGGAGCAAATCATCGATTTGAAATCTTAATTTTTCAGTTAGCAGTCCAATATTATGAGAACAGTTCTAAATTATAAAATTGTTATTTGTGATCTTGATAATTTGTATAAAAATAATCACAAAAACTCCAAAATTGTTGATTTTAAATTTAGAATGAAATAGGTATAAAACTGATTATGATCTTGTTAAGAGTTATCTCACAGAACTTTCTATTTCATTTACTAGTTGCAGTATACATAAAAAATGTATATTGAATAAAGCACTTTCAATAACATGACTAACAATGTTGTCTTCTCTACTTTTTTAGCTATGCAATCACTCACATTTTTCCAGAACTTTGTTTCCTTATCTTTAGACTGAGGACTAGAATCTATAGTATTTTTTAAAAAATTATTTGAGATAATGTTTGTGAAAATATTGTATGTGTTATGATGTGTTAAGTGATCATAATAATTAAAAAACTTATCTATTTATATATTTACTTAGCTATACAGCAATTTATTTTCTAAACTTTATTTTTTATTTTTTAGGGTGGTTTTAAATTTACAGAAAAACTGTACACGAAATACAGAGTTCTCATATACCTCCAACTTCTTGTACATGAATTTTTACTTTTTAATTCTATTGTCATTTACAGATTTTTATATCACTGAATTTAGCATTCACATAAAAAGGGCAACACCTTTGGATTGTCTCAGTTCCAGAAAGATCTATTCAGACTGCGTCAAATCAAATTCAAAACTCTAACTCATTGCTGTCCAGTTAGAACCTACTCATAGTTTATCCTTCTTTTAGTTTGCATAAATTTTAAATTGTTCAGGAGATTGTTCATCTTCCCCCCCCCGTAGCTTGTGCTCTATGGGTTTAGTAGCACAATTCCATATCAATGAGGTCACCAGGGCTAAAAATTTAAACATATACAATAAACTTCACACCTCAAACCTTGCAGGTTAGTGTGGTTCATTGTGATAATTGAAGCCATTCTAATGAGCTTTGACTGGGTTGAATCCAACTTTTGTGGTATCTGAAGTTTCTACAGTTTGGGGTATCCCTTTTCATTAAAAACAAAATTAAAGAAACATTTAAAAATTAAGTAAATAAATATCTATTTATTTAGAATGAAGTAAAAGGGAGTTTCAGTAGTATTCTATGCAATGTATGGGTTCATTTATTTCATAGTAAATTGACTTCTGGGTTACATTGGTAAGTGGATTAAATGATCTTTACTTAATCTAGTTGAGCTACACAATCCTACAAAGCTGCTTGTCTCTTCATTTTCCTTAAGCAATGAGCCCAGGTATCACTATTCTCCAGTCTATAGGATTTTGTGCTGTTAACCCAAAGGTTGTGTGTGAACCCACAACTTGCTCCAAGGGAGAAAGATGGGCCATCTCCTCACATGTAATTTATAGCCTCCCAAAACTCACTGGAGGTTAGCTCTGAGTACATTTTAACTCAATAGTAATGAGTTGAGTACAGGATATATAATAGATATAGATTTGTTGATCCTCTACTGGACTAGCGATAAGAATCTGTGCTGCAATCTCAAAGGCACACAGTTTGAATCCTCCAGCTGCTTGGTGGGAAAAGGATAGGCAATCTCCTCCCATGTAATTAACTGCCTCTGAAACCCATTGGAGGGTCAGCTATGGTTTGGTTCTGACTTGATGGTACACAACAACAGTAACAACAACAATAATAGATATGCTATGAGTGGGAAGAGATTCAATGGCTGAAGACTATAGCACAAGCATGTGGGATTTGGAGTTGAAGTCACATAAATAATACTAAACATAAAGTCCGTGTGCCACATACACTATGTGGCTTGGACAAAAACTTAACCATAGTGTGAAGCTTCCCTGTCTCAGTTGACTGTGAAAAGAAACTATGTTATAAAACCACACAAATATTATTTAACCTAACTCATTGGTGTTCAGTAGAATCTCAGCCACAGGAACTCTTTAGGATAGTGTAGAAGGGTCCAATAGGGTCTCCAAAATTGAAATCTTTATGCAAACAGATTTTCTCTTGCAGGCAAGCTGGTGGGTTTGAAGCATTCACCTTCCAATAGCACCTTATTACCTGAGCAGTGATTGCCTTATCCAAGTCATCACGTTTTTTCATCAAGGCCTCTAGACTCTCTAAGGAGCCTTTGTCATCTGACCGCAAGAGGTTCTCACGTGCCATCATCCAGCTCTCAGCTTGATCACAGTCTCCTTGGAATAACTATGGGGAATAGAGTTAGAGGTACATTAATTCTGGAGGACAAAAGAAATTATGTCTCTTTCTTGACGTTTCAATGCAGCAGAGGTTCTTATAAGGGGAGACAGAGAGAGAGAAATGCAGAAAGAGAGGAAGGGACGGTGTTTATATGTGAGTGTGTGTGAAAGAGACAGCTATTAGAGAGATTGAGAATTGGAAGTGAATTAAGGTGGAGAGTGGAGAGTCAGATGTTTAATACTATCTCTACTTAATATTTTAATATACTAATTATCTAAATGTTGTGGCTAAAAATCCTCTGGAAAGTTTGTTTAGCATTATGGCCCCATTCACCCATTCATTCAATTGTTCACTTGTACATACTTTTTCAATGAGGGTATTTACTTGTGATGATCACCAAACACTATTCATTTTATCCAGTGAATAACAAAAATATTCAGTTCTTGCCTTTCTAGTTTTTAAATAAATGCTCAGGCTGTCAGGGATCTCTCCAGAGAACTGAAAAGCAACAATTTGAGTCTAGAGACTAAGGTGCACTTAATCAAGACCATGGTCTTCACAATTACTTGCTACGTATTAGAGAGCTGGATAATGACTAAGGATAACAGGAGAATTGATGTCTTTGAATTGTGGTGCTGGAGGAGTCTTGAACATACCATTGACTGTCAAGAAAACAAATAGGTCAGTCTTGGAGAGGGTGAAACCAAGTCTCTCCTTGGAGGCTAGGATTTTGAAGCTCCGCCTCATTTACATTGGGCATGTGGCCAGGAGAGATCAGTCCTTAGAGAAGGAAATCATGCTCAAAAAGGTGGAGGAACAGCACAGTAGAGGAAGACCCTGGATGATATGGATTGATATAATGACTGGGACAACGCTGGTTGCTGTGTCAGAATTAGTGAGACTGGCTCAGGACAGGGAAGGGTTCAGAACTGCTGTACTTAGGGTTGCTATGGGTCACTGGTGATTCCATGGCACATAACAACAACAACAACAATGATAACAACAAAGACCTTCAGAAAGATTGCTGGACTACTTCTAAGGATTTCAGTGTTCAAATTTATCACTGGTAATTTGGTGGATTTAAGGACAAGGGAGTAGTCTCCTCCACCTACCAGAAGCCTCTACTTGCAGAAAGCATTGACATTATCCGTTATGTCATGCACTTATAATTGACAGATATATCTGAGAATTAGCTGGACTACATAATTCTCAAAAATCACTTTGTATAAATATTAGTAGTGAGGTAAAATATGAATTTTAAAAATGAAAAAGTAGTCTACACAAGTCATTGCTGAAGATAAGAAAACCTTATTTAGGGCTATACCCTAGGAATCTCTCAAGCATCTTTTTTTTTTAAATTTAGGTTGTTTATTTTTCATTTCAATGAACATCTACAGAGATTTTGGGATTCCATTCATTCATTGT